GCCTATTTAAATTCACTAACAATTTTCTCTAAAACGATTCGTAAGAACAAACTTTGTGCCCTTCTTTGACTTGGTATGGTTTTGGTGTTGTTGGATCTGAACATATTGATCCAAAAGGTGTTACCGCTTGGTGTGAAAATGAACCAACTGGTTATACTTGGAATAAGTCTTCCGAATTTCCTAAAGGTTGTATATGGGCTGCTCACGGTGTATGGGATAAAGAAACAAAGACAATATTATGTCCTGATTATTTTGCGAAAAATCCCCGTACTGGTGAACCAATAAATTGGAATCAAGATTGCTATAAACCTTTTATCCTCCAATATGCTGAAGCTATTAGATCTGTACATTCAAATGCTATTATATTCATTCAACCTCCTGTACTTGAATTACCACCAGACATGCTTAGTGATCCAAATCCTATAAAACGTATTATGTATTCTCCACATTGGTATGATGGGTTAACTTTGACACAAAAACAATTTAATTGGTATAATGTTGATGTTTTGGGTATCAAAAGGGGTAAATATCCTACCTACCTTAGTGCTATCAAAATAGGTAATAACGCAATAAGAAAAAATTTTGCGGAACAAATTAATATGACTTTAAGTGAACGAGTTAGTTTAGTTGGTATGTACGGATTTATGATTATTCTGTTCTTTATTTTTCTGCTGTTTCGTACTATATATATATTATTTTTTTGATGATTCACTAACGGAATAAATTTCAATATTATAGGCAATGTGCCAAGTGTGATAGGAGAGATAGGCATACCGTATGATCTGGATAATCGTAAAGCTTACGAAACTGGTGATTACAAACAACAAATCAAGGCGATGGATGCAAATTTACAAGCATTAGAAAGTAATCTCGTCAATTATACTTTATGGACTTACGTCCCTGATAATAATAATGAATGGGGTGATCAATGGAACGGTGAAGATCTTAGCATTTATTCAGCTCCTTTGGAAAGTCTTGAAAAAATTCATTCGATGATGTCAACACCAGATTCGAGTCAAATATTAGATTTAGGAGGCAGAGCATTAGATTCTTTATTAAGACCGTTTCCTCTTAAAACTAACGGTGAACCATTAAGCATATCATTTGACCCCCATAAAAAAATATTTAAATACAAATTTAAAAATGACAAGTTCAACCCAGAAAAGAGTACACCAACCGAAATTTACTTACCTAGATATCATTACCCCGAAGCAGATGATTTTTCTATTACATTCTTTAGTGGATATGCAGATTTCCAAAGAGATCAACAGCTATTATTGTATTGGCATGATATTGGTGATCCCGCAGACGATAGGAATAATGATTATCATTTCGGAATTCATGAGATTATTGTTGAGTTCAAGAAACCACTTGTTGGTGGAGAAGGAATTTGGGATGATTGTTGTTAATTGTAATAAATTTATCCTTGTTTTGTTATTATAGGATGAGTCGGTTGGTCTGTCTATTATATAAATGACTTTTCTTCTTATGCATTAATGACTCTTTGTTTTTAATACATTAATATAGAACGAAAAAAAAAAATTTAATTATTTTTCGTTTTTTCTTAAACTCATGTATACTAAAAAATTTTAGTAGCTTTTATTGACTTTTGTTTTCGTTTATGTGGAATAGGTAATGTTCGCATAGGAAAAGAAGGTAGAACAATCCTTCTTCCTTGCAGAATATCTTGTATATGTATTGGTACTTTTGTGTATCATTAAAAAAAAACAAAAATAATTCATTTTTACCAAGATTGTCTTAACACCATTAATATATTGGATTAAAACGCATGATCGAACGTTTTACACCAAGTCCAATACCAAGTCAAAGAAGGGCACAAAGTTTGTTCTTACGAATCGTTTTAGAGAAAATTGTTAGTGAATTTAAATAGGC